CCCCGTACATGTCTTCATTCTTGAGAACAACGCGGCAGTAATAAACGGCATGATTTGTCGTTTGGCGTCGCGTACGAGAAAAATTCAACAAAGCAATTTTGCTGCCATGCAACCAAACGACATTGTCAACCAAAATCATTGTAAAAAGGCGCGTGTCTCAAATTATTTTTGCATATCGGTTTTTCTTATGCACGCGTAGACAAAACTATATTAAGGCACTGGACTGAAAGGCTAAAATAGGATTCAACCGTTCTTCTTCCCTCTCATTTCTCATTTCGTGCAAGAAATCCGGATCGTGGGACAATGGTTTTTTAGGATCACGAAGCTTTTCGGGCTAGCACAGAGCAAAAAGATGGAACGCACGAAAGATCTTGCAGGATAAGATACTTGGTCGAGGCGTTTCCATATCCATGTATACTGCCTTATAGGGCATGGAATGCTGATTTCGAGTCTGCTCGCTATCTGTAAAGCTTTTTTAGGAGGGGAGCTTTGCGAATTTTTCGAGATAAAAAAATATAAGGGTTTGGCTAAAGTGATGTGAGGTATTGAGGTCCTTTCAAGGCTCAAAAGAATGACTAGAACGAGTTTATACGACTGAAGTGTTAATTGCGTAAAGCGGCGTGGCAGTGATTATGGCCCCATTTGGGCTCACAACTACATTTCTAAATAATTTCGCTGTTGCCGTGCTTCCAGTTAGGCTAAAAAATTCCACTAGCTCTCTCCCCCCCCCCAGACATGCTTTGCAGATAACGAAAGCAGATCAATCAGCACTCCATGCTCTATAAGCCAATATACAACTTATATGGAAGCGCCGCTTTGGCCAAGCGTCCCTCCCCAACTAGTTGGAAGAAAAGAACTTGACAAGTACTCTACAGTTAAAAGGGAAAAGGTGTCAGAATTATTTTGATGATCGTTTTTTGAATTCACAACCTTGAAAGAACAACTCTGTTGACACAGTTCTGCTTCTTTTGATTTTGCTCTTTGAAAAGATTGTGTTGACTTATTTTTTTTCAATTTCATCTTTGACGAGCCGCAACTAGTCTGAAAATTTTATGGGTTCCTTTTGCCTATTTGAAGACTTCTGAACGAAGCTTGTAGAATTTGTTTCGTTCAGTCGAATTAACGACAAGCAGTGATTCTTTTGGCATAAACACTCAGTATTTCCAAGTTCCGTTTTGTTCAAAGCTTGGCATTGTTGATACGTTTCAATCTTGCTATGCCGTACAGGTTTGTTGGATGGATGGAGGTGTTGCTTTGGGTTCTTTTTAGGCCTCTAAGGACGGCAAGGCGCCGAAACATTAGGCCGATTTGAATAAATATACCATCCTAACAAACCTGTACGGCATAGCAAGATTGAAACTTATCAACTCACATAATAATTTTTTTCAAATAATTTCTGAAGGTTTCGTTTTTTCCTGCAATTTATACGTTGTAGTCAGTGGCATGCCGAAGTCCCTCCCCCGAGAATAGGTCGCAAAATTCTTCAAAATTCACGTAATTGAGTTATAAAAATGACAAGTGACTTATTCGTACGTAAATAATCAAAGCCAATTGGTTTTATAAAAAAATTTTTTTCGGGATCGAATGCTTGAATAACGCCGCATCTCCATCGGCAAAAAAATACTTCCCCTCCCACCCCCCCCTTAACGGAAATTCTTACGCCACTAGTATGTGAGGTTTAACATTTATTCTACTAAGTATAATACATAAATTCTATGCTTTTTTTGTCAGCAAATGTCAGTGGCCGCATTTTGCACGCAGCCAAATCGATACGTCAGTGTTGTTTTCGTTTTCGTTTGCAGCCGTTTTGGCGGCGCACACTTTACGATGAGAAAAAGTTTTGCAGGAATTAATTGCAAGATTTTCTTCTTTTCACTCTAACAGCTGGCATGTTTTTTTTTGCAAGCCTCATAATCATCAATCACTGGCCGATTTCTATTCTCCTCGCCAGTCAAGTCTCCGTCCTCCGTATCGTTCTCTGTTCTCCATCGCAAGGTCAACATCGCAAATGTTTTCTGGTAGGAGGGTCCTTATCTCTGCACTTTTTCGTTAGCTCCATCACGAGTGGGTGAGTAATTGCGTATCTAGAGCCTATTTGCAATATTCCTCCACAGAACCTTTAAAGCTTATCTTGACATCTTGTTTTTACGTTTGATCCATAACTTGCAGCTAGATTCATTTAAAAAAAGCGTAACTATCTGTTTTTTCGATTAATCGTATCTAATAAAGCCTTTAAAGCGAAAATTATGCGCTTTCTAACAGCCCTTAAAGCAAGGATCCATTCTTTCATACACAATACAAGCTGATCAAGAGAAATACCCACTTTGTACTTTTCTGACATTTTGGTCTTCAAAATTGTAGAAGGCTCAAAAAATTTCAACTTTATTACTTTCAAAAAATATATAATATAACTTGGATTGTTTTAAGCTTTTTTCAGTTGAATTGGGACTTTTCGATGCAAGACATGGATTAACCCTATATTATGGACTCGGAAAGTTATGCAATACCTCATTTTCAAAAAAAACTATTTGACGAAGCTGTTCACTTTTGGCCCAACTTGAATTTAGTGAATACAATTGTCTGGTTTCAAGCATCAAGATTTGAGTTTTATGAAAGTACAAAATCAAAAGCATCATAAAAAAAGCTTTCTTTGAAAATTTGGCGAGCATGAAAATCTGACTAAAATCTCATGTAGTTATATAACATTGGCCTCCGTCTGTATTCAAGCTTGTACGAATTGCCATAATGCTTGTAAATTTTGTGTATGAAAATGGCTGTAACTACTATGATGTTTTGAGGGCCCAGAATCTTTGGTGCTTTGTCACACTGCTGGAACGTTGAATCACAGCCTTTCCTTCAGTTAAAACCAGGGTCAAGCGTGGGGTGCGGCACGCCACACCTGGGGGTCGTATTGAGGAGTCAAAAGGGGAGGGGGTTGTAGTTGGGTAATCTGATAGTAGTGATAACATGATATTTGTATCATATCCATAATTAGCATGTCAATTAACCCCTGTAGACAAAGTGTGAGCGAATTCTGAAGATTCAAGATACTAGGCTACCTAAATGAAATGGTCAAATTCCAACATGGTTAACTTTGTTTCAAAGGTGAATTAGCTATCCGTTTTTGCACTCAAGACAAAGCACTACTCCTTCTTTGTTCACCTCAGGAATCCCGCTTCAGAAGACCTGCAAACTGTGGAATTAGAAGCCAACCAAAATCTCGTTTTTCCCACTTTTCGCTTTTGATCTTCACCAAATATTACTCAGAGCTAAGAAGACGAATCAGGCTCCAAACAGTCCTATGGAATCTACAAGGTCTAGGCTATCGATTCATATAAATACTGTCCGCTAAAAATGTTTTTTTTGATATAGTTAATGGGGTGCGGCACTCCCCCTTAAAAGCTGCGGCTGCCGCAGCTTTTAAGGGGGTGTGCCGCACCCCCTTAACTTGCCTTCAAAATCCAGAAAGCGCTGCATTGCTGGTATGAGTATTGAGCACATAGCTTCTTCTTGCTACACTGGAAATTTGGAGCCGAACGCCGCACCCATAAGAAAACTATGGCCCTTTCAATATGCCTTCCAGATCAAAATCAGCCGTCAAATTACGTGTGATTGTAAAGTGCAGTCACAGAAAATCGGGCGTACTGCTCTCAGAAATCTGAAAACTCTCTAGAAAAAGCTGGTGCCCTCCAGAATGTCACACTTTAAGGTCCAGAGGTCAAGAGGAGGAAGAAGGGGTCGTTTGAGGGCTTTCATGGGAGGGGGGGGGTTGTTTTCGAAAGACTTGTGCCTGACCTCATTCTCAACTCTGGTAATGCTATCTTAGGTATATAGTTCAGGGGGGGGGGGTCTTATTAAGACAGCAATCAGGGGGGGGGGGGGTCGTAACCAGCGACCGTGTGCCACACCCCTTGCTTGACCCTGGTTAAAACTAAATTTGTAAAAATTTTAGTGCAACGAATCGTTCTTTTTCCACAAAGAATTGCAAATTACATACTTTCCCACTATATGCAAAGGATTTATGTAAAAACCCTATTAACCACATCGATGAATTATTTGACGTCGACTTGTGCTACTAAGTTGTCTCATACGTCTTCTCAATCTGTCAGTTTCTGTTTTTCAACTGAAAATTATACAATTTTTGAAAGAGCTCTCCGCCTGTTTCCGAACATTTGCACAAATCTTATCCAGTTCGGGTTTGAAGTCAAAAAATGGAATTTCCGCCGTGTTAAACACACGGATCTCCAACTGGTTTATGTATGTATTCCCTATATTAGATGTTTATGTATACAGATGCTTCTTTTTTTTACATAGCTAAACATCGAGAAAACGAAAATGCTATGATTTTGCCAATGATTCTCATTTGGCATAAAAAAGCTGAAAATGCTACATTATTGTAATTTTTAGCTTATATTAAATATCTGACCATGGATCTATGTTGGGAAGTATATGCACAAACGGTTGGATCCCGTGCATTTTAGGAGAATTTCGATTTCATGGGTTCAAAGCGATCGCCCGAAATTGTCTTGTAGAATTTCCACTTAATTGAAAAATGATTTGATTGCCGTTCAAAAAATCAAATTTGGAAAGTTGTCGCCAAAGTGGAAAATCGAGAAAACTCAATAGTTCAGACAGGCCTTTTCTTAATCAGTGGAAAACAAAATCCCTTAGTATCATGATTATAATTTATATAGTGTTATTCATTATTCATAACTTGAGCAAAAGGATCACAAAGAACAGGTTCATTGCACATTGCTGATTCCAGTAAATGGAGTTTACAAGTGCAAGAACCAGTTTTGTTTGCATTTTCTGCAGTTTTAGGGTTTCCCGTAAATTCCACACACTTTTCCTTGACCTCGTTTCTATCGATCAGAGTTCGTGCCGTATCTGCCATACTTCAATGTTTTCTTTGTTTCCTTTGCACTTACCAACATTACATCGTTCTATTCTCCGTGGTACTCCTATATTATCCAGTAAACTACTTATATGTACTTTGCCAGATGTCCCGGTACGACTTGGTGATTTATGGCGCAAGCGGTTTTACAGGAGCATATATCGTGGAACGTCTTGTGACTTCTAAATATTTTGGTGTAAGACGATTTTTTGCTTAGACACAGGATTAATTTTCACACATACATATTCCAGACAGTGTCGTTCGCTGTCGCTGGCAGAAGCAATGCTAAACTTGAGAAATCTTTGGACAAGATATCCAAGAAAACAGGTAGGTTAAAATCATTTATGATCTACAAGTATTTTTTCAACTCAACTTAGCTTTTGAGCCTTGCCTTTGACTGAAGGAAAAATTACGTAATGTTGGTAAGAACACAAATTCAGTAACAAACCTGGAAGTCCCAGATTAGTGCAAAATTTGAGCGCGACAAATTTCTAATCTCAATTAGAATTCTTTTCGACTACCTCGTTTACAAGATTCTAGGTAATGTCTCGCATTATAACGCACCTGTATCGGCAGATTTATTTATTTATTTATTTATGCATTTGATGATGCGCCCAACGAATGTATGTGTTAGTTCAACAAAGTTGCCTTGCCTAGGAACAAACGACTAGACAAACAATAAGCGCTGGTTTTTCGAAAAATCAAACTGTACTGCGAAAATAAAATTTATAGCCCACTTAATAGGTATATAGATATAGGTATAAACGAATACTAGAGCGAATATTCTTGATTCCGTGCGTGCCCCGGCGGAAATAAATACCTCTTCGAGCTTCCCCTTACATAACTCTGTTTCTCTTAGACTCCATCAACTATTATAGTAATTCAGGTGAGGACTGCGCCAGAAGGCTTCCATTTTCTAACAATACAAAGAAATTTGAGTTTTATATTTGCACGAATTCAACTTTACCAGAATTCTGAATTGTCATAGGCGGTAGGGCTAGATCTACGACATAGTTTTAGATAGCTTCTCACATGATGAATTTTACTTTGAAACTTGTGCTTAATTTTTGATTCTTTTACTTTTGCGTTAGCTATTGGCCACCACCTGTAGTAGCCATGTTTTATGATGTGCTCAGAAACGTGCACTTGAACGACGGATGCTGCAGACAGAATAAAAACTATTGAGTGCTTGTATTCGCAATGCACACTAGACATAACATCGCAATAGATGTGATAGACATGCACTTCGCTATTCCAATAATTCGTAAGAAAAATTCCCAACGTGTGGTTGCGTGTACTGACTACATATCATGCATAACACCCAAGGCTCGGCACAAATCGTATGGAACCAGGCCGGACTTCGTTTTGAGGCGAAAAAGCGAGGGGGATGTCTTTATATGGCCAAAATTGCTACTTTTTTCAGTCGCTGAAAGTTAAAGGGGACTTCGTGAAATTTCGTGCAAGTCAAGGAGGACTTCGTTTTCAAGAAGCCTAGAAACGAACTCATGCCGGGCCCTGATAACGCTATAAACAGAGCACTAGCACTTGCTTACCATACAGGAAATCTCTAGGAGTGAATGATGGGTTTGGACATAGGTAAATTGCTACGTATTTGCGCTCGCAAGCTTTTTCTAATTTATTAGGTTTGCGGATAATTTCTGTAACACTTTTTTTCGTAAAATTCTAAGAAGTTTCAAAAGTTCTCTAGAATCTTCAAAGTTGCTCCATATGTAGGCCACGGTAGGGCGTACACAACAGTATGACTGATGCCGCAAATGCACAATTAGCCAGCAACTTTACGACAACTTTATAAGCACGCTCAAAATTGTCACTTTTTCTTTGGTTTTTTTCTCTACGTCTAATTGTGTTTTTTATCTCCCATAATTTTTTTAGAGCATATTTTCGCATCGTCTCTTTTATGGTAGCACTTTGGTGCCGCCAGCATGCCAAAAACAAACAAAACAAAAACAAAACGAAAAAAACAACTCAAAAAATTAAAAATTCGTCGAAAATTTTTCTTTTTGTGTGCATTGTGTAGGATTTGATACGGGAAGGTTGCAAATAATTTTTGTAAATTTTTAAAAAAGTTCTTCATGTCAAGATGCCAATGTGCGCTGACATGGCGCAACGTGTAGCTCATGTGGTCGTGTGCGGGCATGATTGTGCCATCCCCCTATTTGCTAAAAACTAAGGGCCATACCCTGTCCGAATACCACATCGCCCGGTCTCTTCCCAATCAACTGGAACAATGCCAGCCCGCTGACGAATATGTCCATAAAATGCACTCCCACCGATAAAGTGGGTGTTTTGCTCACGGACCGCGGATCTGACAGTGCCGGCGGGTAGACCTTTGCACCCCAACACTCCTCAAGCATAAGAATTTTCGAAAGTTTGTTAGATTTTTAAAAAATAAAGATAAAAGTGTAACAGAAATTATCCGCCAACCTAATACTTAATATGAAAAAAATTGTGATTACCAACCGGCGGAGTCATTTAGGAAAGTTCCGAGATTCATCTTATGATAGTCGTCGAAAACTAAAAAAATTTGTAACGGAGGGATATCATTGGGTCTCGGTTACTGGTGAAGCTTGACCGAACCTGGAAACTTACTTTGCTATTGTACTACTTCAAGTGAGGACTGTGCCAGAATCTTTCCATTTTTCTGGTATTACAAGGAAATTTGGGTTTTATACTCTAACACGAATTCAATTTTACCAGAATTCCTAATTGTCTTATGCGGTAGGGCTAGGTCTACGACATCAACTTTCAGCAAGCTTTTCATATTCTTAGTGAGGCCTACAAACACCAAGGACAGAGTCTGATATCTTTTCCGTTATCTCCGCATCAAGCATTTCATTATAGTAATTCAAGTAAGGACCCACAAGGTTTCCATTTTTTGTATCACAAGGAAATTTCAATTTTATACTTGAACGAATTCAACTTTACCAGAATTCTTGATTGTCATACGCGGTAGGGCTAGGCTTACGACATGAATTTTTAGCTAAAATCTCACATCCTTGGTGATGCCTGCAAACACCAAGGACATAGTGAAACCTAAAACTGTCTTTGCAGGTAAGGACATCACGGCGACCCCGGTAATCATAGCCGACTCTTCTGATGAGCAATCATTGGCTGATATGGCCAGAAAAGCAAAGGTCATCGTAAATGCCGTCGGACCGGTGAGCGTGATTTTTGATAAAGACTTTGGGGAAAGGTGAGAAATAGGAGAGAAGAAGGATAGGATAGTTTGAAAGAAATTGCAAAGTTGTCTAAAGCACAAGAATTTTACTGAAAAGAGTTCACTATTGTCGCGTCAAAAAGCGATGTAACTTAAGTACTTCGAGTTGAAAAATAGTTTAGTTTCACTATTGCAAAATACGCATGAGAGACCTACGAGTGCAACTTATCCCGGTTCCATGGGATTTGCCTGATACTTACAGTATGATTACAGTATCGGCTTTACGGTGAGCCTGTCGTGAAAGCAGCTGTGGAAAATGGTGCTAACCATGTGGACATATCTGGTGAACCAGCGGTAAGTAACCGGCAAGTACTAACTTCCGTAATTCATCAGATACAAGTTTACAAAATTAACTGCGGTTTTATCATTGAGATTTAGGCATTCCATCAAGCAGAATATATCCGAACTTTTTCTATTTTCTTTAGACATTGTGCATTTTAAAGAGTATTTTCCTAAGAAAAACGTGATTATCTATTTCGAAAGATATTTTAAAAAATATGTGAAAATTTTCATTGACAAGACTGTTGAATGCACATGCATTGCACGAATTATTACTTGACTTTTCCTTTTTTAGTATCTCGAAAGGATGCAAATGATCTACGGTGAAAAGGCCAAGCAAAATGTAAGTGTTGTAAGCACAAGCTTTTGTATCTTATATATAAAGCTGAATGTCTGTTTGTCTGTCTGTCTGTATGTCTGTCTGTATGTCTGTCTGTCTGTCTGTCTGTGTGTACGTATGTTCCGGATAGAAAATTCCATTTCTGAACCGATCCGGACCAAACTTGGCACACATACGCTACGGGCCCCGGCGGGTGTCATAGGCTACTTTTCGTCATCGATCGATATCGATTTTATCGATTTTTATCGATTTTTTTGCTGAGTTCACCTACGGGGCTGGGAGTTGGCACAGGGGGGTAATCGAGCATGGGGATTCCGAATACAATATTGGTTTTCAGGATTATCGATTACTTTTATCGATTTTATCGATTTTTTTGCAAAGTTTGAGCTACGGGGCTGGGAGTTCGCAGAGGGGGGTAATCGAGCATGGGGATTCCGAATACGATATTGGTTTTCAGGATTATCGATTACTTTTATCGATTTTATCGATTTTTTTGCAAAGTTTGAGCTACGGGGCTGGGAGTTCGCGCAGGGGGGTAATCGAGCATGGGGATTCCGAATACAATATTGGTTTTCGGGATTATCGATTACTTTTATCGATTTTATCGATTTTTTGCAAAGTTTGAGCTAGGGGGCTGGGAGTTGGCACAGGGGGGTAATCGAGCATGCTGATCATCCCCAAGGGGGTGATCAGCATGCTCGATTACACCCCTGTGCCAAATTCCAGCCCCCTAGCTCAAATTTTGCAAAATCGATAAAATCGATAGAAGTAATGGATAATTCCAAAAACTAATATTGTATTCGTAATCTGCATGCTCGATTACCCCCCTGTGCAAACTCCCAGCCCCGCAGGTCAAACTTTACAAAAAAATTGATAAAATCGATAAAAGTAATGGACGATCCTGAAAACTAATATTGTGTTCGTAATCGGCATGCTCGATTACCCCCCTGTGCAAAATCCCAGCCTCGCATGTCAAAATTTACAAAAAATCGATAAAATCAATAAAAGTAACCGATAATTCTGAAAACTAATATTGTATTCGGAATCCCCATGCTCACTTCCCCCCTGTGCCAACTCCTAGCCCTGTAGGTGAACTCTGCGAAAAAATCGATAAAAATCGGTAAGATCGACATCGATCGATAACGAAAAGTGGACTGTGACACGCGCCGGGGCCCGAAGTGTATGTGTGCCAAGTTTGGTCCGGATACGGCGGAGCCGGGTAAGCCAGCTAGTCAAAAATAAAATTGTCTATGAAAGGGTGTGTACATCGTTGGTGCATGCGGATGGGATTCGATTCCTTGCGATCTTGGAGTGAGCTTCTTGAAGGAGAAATTTAATGGAGATCTCAATCATGTGGAAAGTTTTGTGCAAATGGTCAGCGGACCGTCGGTGAGTAAGCTTCGGTGTTTATTTGCTGATGCCAAAAAGATGAAAACTGGCAGTTCAATTTCAAGCCAATTGTTTAGGGTACAAACACTTTGTTTTCTTATTCTAGGTCGAAGATCTTTTTAGCAAATTTACAGGTTTTTTAGCCAAAAAGAAAAATTTTTCAGATGGGACTTGCTTAATTTTGCTAATAGATTGCTAAAAATCATAAATTTCTTTCATGCCATAATTTCTATTATTCTTCTTCTTTATTCGCAAAAATGAAGCTCTTGTCTGTTACTCCAAGGAATTCCATGCTCATTGATATTATGAATAATGAACTTGAAAATCTAAGAAAATGTTGAGTAGACGGGATGAACCTACACTGTATAATCACTTGCTGCAGAATCTTTCCTCTTGAAAAGGGAAGAGAGCCGGAATGAGGAGGGGGGGGGGTTACAATTTCTGAGTAAAGAAATGATAATGATCAATTACTTTTTTTCTAATATTCTTTGTACTGATTCCTAAACCTTTAGCAAGGTTTTGTTTCAAAAAGGGGTTGCAGTGAGACTTTTTGAGAAATTTTTTTCCCAAAGGCTAATTTATTTCATAAATTTGCAACGTCTTTGTATTTTTACAAGGGTTATAAAACAATTATTCATTCATCACTCAATCATTCAGAGATTAACAGCCTCAAAAAACTTGCCTCGCATTCTCAACTGCAACAAATTATCCATCTATTGGTATAAAGATATAACGCAGAAATTTGGCTACCACTTTCTGCTGACAGAAATCTTACTGAAAATTGATTATAGGGTTATGCAATCAACGAAGGAACGTACCAAACCCTGATTCTCGGTATAAGTCAAGCAGCATCTGACGGGTTGGGAAAGATTCGCAAGACCATAATGCCGGAAAAAATCGAGAAGGGAGATGTGAAGCCACCAAAAAGGTACAGTTTCCGACTAGACTGGTTTTGTCATAGAGCTAATTCTTGTAGGGGTAAACTATGGGCGATCCATGAGAAGGAGCTTGATGGTTGGGCATTACCCTTCATGGGTTCGGATAAATCTATTGTCAACCGATCACAGTACTACGATTGTGTGACTAACAATAAGAGACCGGTAAATAGATATTCATATATAGTTCTTTTCCCCGTAAAGAGAACTGTCATTAATTCTAACATTTTGAGGCTCAAATCGAAACCTATCTTCGCGTGTCCTCCCTTCTATGGGCTGTATTGCTGGCAATGTGGCTTACAGTATTCGCTGTACTTGCTCAGTTCAAATTTTCTAGAGAATTTTTGAAGAAACACCCCGACCTCTGCAGCTTCAACATGTTCAAGGTAAGCTTTGCATTTTGAATGATAGTGTGATACTGACGTGAATCTTACAGAGCTCTGGTCCATCGGAGCAGCAGATTGCTGAGGCGTCGTTCATATACTGGTTCTTCGGATATGGGTACTCGGAGCGTAAGCCCGTGGGAGAAAAGCATGCGGGAACACCTGATCAAAAGGTGAGAGCTGTTGGTTACATTTTATAATATTTGGATGTCAGCTGCGTTCTCAAGACTTCCGTTTGGGAGGGGAGACAAAAACTTTTTTGAATTCAAGATTTTTGCAGTTCCAGAGCCTCGAAATTTTAGAAGAAGGTGGCGCGACGTCACCGCCAAAAAACTATTTAACAGGGCTAACTTGAGTTTTTGAAGATTTTTAAATGTTATTTTGATTTTTAACAGTATGAACAAGTCATTTTTGAAACGCATAAAAGTAACTTTCAAACGTTTCAAAACCCATTTTCGGGGGAGGAGGTGAGGGGATGGAGTACGAACGAACACATAGAAGTAGTGTTTGAAAAGACTCTTAATAGCCCAGGAAACTATGTACTGATGCAAAGTCTTTGAGGCGTGTGGTCCAAAAAATGAATTCACTAGACTTAGTGGGCTTTCCGGAGATTTTTTTGGCGGGGGGGGGGGTGAAATAGGGTAGAACGTCCCTTGAAGCATCATTTGGGATACTTTCCAACATTTGACTCATACTTAAACTTCTGAAAAACTCAGGAACTCCTTTCGAAAATTTGTGAGCAATCTGTTGGGGGGGGGGGAGGATTAACAACCGGTTGTTCTTTACGAGTCAGCATTTCATTGGCCACTATTTCAGATGGTTGTTACTTGCAAAGGCCCTGATGCTGGTTATCGCTCAACCAGTGCTTGTGTACTTTCGGCTGCTCTCACAGTTCTCCAAGATCCTCAGAATCTTCCACAAGGGTAATATTGAAACAAACAGAGTTGTTGTCAACAAAAATCTTTTTCCTTGCAGCGGCGGAGTCTTCACAACTGCTTCCGCTTTTGCCAAGACCAACATCTACTCTTATCTCGAATCATTTGACATCAAGTTCCAAGTCGAGTCTCCCCAATCGCAAGTCTGAAGTGCAATTTGTATCTGCTTTCGTTGAATCTGTTATTATTGTCAACCTAAGAAATAAACATGGTCCATTATGATATCACAAATATTCAAGTACTGCTTAATTCTTTGGCCATCACCGGCGAATAAGACAGGATGAATTTCAATGTCTTTTTGATGCTACACGTACATTTTATGCTATATCTTTGTAAGCAATAAACAACATGTATTTTGGTATGACAGCTTAAAAGCACCGTTTACCCAAATTCTTAACCAGAAATTTTGTCATTCCTCTCTTCCGCACTCTGAATCCGAATTCAGACGTGAAGTAGAACGAAAATCTCAAAGTACTGAGTTTTGGATGCGCTTAAATTGCGCTGAAATTACCGCGAAAAACCGAGCGCAGGCAAGCTGGGGTTTACCAATACGGGGTACTCCTTTCAACTTGTTACCTTAGAGCAATTCTCGCTTTTGAAGGGATTTTTTGCTCCGCGATGTGAGCGCTTGATAGGCGACCCCATTGTGGCATGCTGTCAAATTCCAAGTCCCCTAACATAGGCGGATGGTGCCTTTGAGAATAGACAGCTAAACATACCTTTTCTTGCAGTATCTTAGTGTCTTTGACAAATCAAGATGTTTGCAAAAACTCCTAATGTAATTATACATGCTATTCTATTCTATTGCAGCACTGAGCAGCTATACCGTGTTGTATAAAGGCAGTGGCTCGGCAGAATTGAGTTGAATGGATTTTTGAAGATTTTTTATAGTTAGAGGATGTCGTTTGTGCCACTGCGTAAGCCTACTCAGGCATTCGCGGTCAAGTCCCGGTGAAAAAGTTGTGTCCCGACGGAATGACTGCGGGACACAAAGAGTAAAATGGTTTGCGAGAAAACCGGGACTCCTGAATTTCGCTGGTAATAATCCTGCGCGACAAGCGCTTTAGTCCTGAAATGTTTCCTACTGAGAAAACCGGGAGCTCCTGCGGGAGTGCCGATAATGTCGCGATCCAATCACCGGCGGGACTCCCGCTCTACGATGCAGTCTCCTGCGGTAGATGCGATATAGCAACGACTCGATCAGCTGCTGGTTGGGCTTTTTCTCAAAATGGTCCTCCTTCAAAAGTACTCAATTAATACTACACACATCTTACAAAGGTTCTGCGCTCGATAAAGAGTTCAGAACCACTATTTCTCAGCTTCCGTGATCGAAAAAACATTGAAATCACTACAACAAAGTTAACCGAAACATGTGGAATGTTGAGATCAATATTTATTAAATCATGATTCAAATTGAGTTCACACTTTCAATGTCTTCGTCTTGCTTATGTTCCCCTTCATTCGCCTAGGCCCAGCCAAAATCCAAATCAATGAGATATCAAGGGATAAAACACTTTTATCTATACTTATCTCTTTGCCGCGCGCATTTAGACTCAGTTTAAGTTTTCCTGCGTAGAGGCCAACACCATCGAGAACGAAATCTGGAAGATCTATGTAGAATTTTTAGAAAGACTATCAATCACTCACTTATCAAAAATGTAACCAGACTTTCGGGCAGGTCGTGCAAATGAGGAAATCCTCCCCTTTCCGGATTGTCTGCATGCAAACTTTTGAATTTCTTGTTTTGGCTCAGAGGCCTAAATGCGCAACTCTCGATCAGGATAAGCTCGAAATCTTAGTCTCACTTGCATTCAAAAAATAGAACCTGTAGAAATCCACCACTAATAAAAAAAGATCATGCTTGTGTGCCTTGGACGGCAAGGTCCAGTTTTCGAAAAAACTTGATCATGCTGGCATTCTGGAACATAATTTAGTGCTATTGTATCGATAACAAATGCAACAGCTAACCTTGAATGGACGACAGGGCTCGGCACGGGCTGGCACCAGGGATATTTCAGAACGAAGTCCAGTTTGGTCTTGAAAATTTCGTACGATGTCCCCTTTGACCCGTTTTGAAGACCCATCATTATTTTTAGAGTATGTGAAAGCATGTAGTAGGGTTTTAAGGCATGCTGATTTCATGAAACAACGTTTCACAGCTTTCTGAGCTTTTTAAGTGGTTGAATCATATGTTGAGAAGCAGAAAAAGCCGATTTTTCGACTGCGGAGCAGATGGAGCAATTTTCAGATGGCTATAAGGCGCTTCTCTGTATGTAAACTTCTACGTTTAGATACGTTTTGTATAAAAGAATATGAAGACTTATGTGAGCAAAGTGTCGGTGCCAGCTCAGCTGGCACCCAGCTGGCACGGTGCCAGCTAAATCAGGAAAAAGTTCAGCACAGCTTTCATTCACAAAAGTTTTCATAAATATTTGGGCCATAGTTCAGGTCCCCCAACGCACATGCACACATTAAATTTGGTGCCATATCATTGCGTTTTGGCTGAAAACAACGCCTTTGTTTGTTTGATGTAGGGCATGCCGGTGGCGTGCTGGCGGCATTCTTGCGGCTCTCCTCCGCCCCGGACCCCAGAAAAACGATATCCAGCTTGAACCGGTGCCAGCTGTGCCGAGCCCCGATAAAGGAATCCCGTTGAATTTCCAGGACTTCGTCAAATTCTTTCGCTCAAATTTTTATCCTTTCGGTAGTGTGATTTTCTTCCCCTTTGCTACGTGATATGACATTTTTCGTAATTGCTTACCATGTTCTTGCTGATTGGAGGGAATAGTGTCTATCTAAAGAACTGCATTTGACTCTCCGTTCTTGATTTACCTGACTTACAGTCAGACTTAGTCTAGCTATGATATTGCTTCGTTCTTTTATGATTCCAGCTAGGGTCCTCAAAACTGAGTTTGAGGATGGTCTCATTGAATCGATTGCGTTTTGGATATTTTTACATACATCTGATAGATATATCTGTACAAAAAATTGTTTAAGTACTTCATGATGAGCCATAGTGTTCGAGATAAAAATATGTCACCGACTAAAGGAAAATTAGAAAGTTCGAAGTTATTCCTGCGTAGTGTACAGTCGAATCATCTCATATGATCATGTGCGCATTGCACACACCGTCCATCTTTGGCGTCCCCATCCTGGATTTGCAACGGCAAAAACGCAAGAGACTGGCCGGTTGCTATAGCTTACATTACTTTGAGGTCATTAAAACCCAAAAAGGAAAGAAAACACTGAGTACACATCGGAAATACTTATTTGAAGGGCCGCCTGCCAAGAATCCAGGATTGGGACGCCAAAAATAGACAGTGTGTACAAGGGCACACGTGATCATATGAAATGATTCGACTGTACATGTCAATTAACTACACTGGCCTTTCACGAGAAGAGAAGCAATTTACAAAAGAAGCCATGAGAGCAGGGTGAATGAAAACAGTTGCTGCTTTGATACAACCAAAATGACAAGATGCCCACGACTTGCATGAAAGCAGTCCTAATTAGCAACGAACTTTTGAAATCACACATACCTTAAAATGACGACCTTACACAATGGATTTCGAAGGATTGAACCACTGTAAAATCTCATTAGGATTCCCGATCAAGAAAAAATGCCGGCGCCACCAAAGTCCAACCATAAAGTGCAATGCAAGCTATGACGATACGATTTTGACCCACACTGGAGCCACATCGCTGTTCAGATATGTAAGATCACTGTCAGGACCGTAAAAGAGAAAATTTCGGAGGACATTTTTAGCGAGATGAAGAATCTCTAAAACTTAGTTGTACCAGCTGGTCAACGTCATCAGCACATACAGGGATGCAAGTCCAAACATGAAATGGAAGAACGAGTAAGAGTATGCAACCCGTTTCGATTCATTGTCCCAAAATCCTTTTGAACTTCCATGGGCTGCTCTTACGCAATCTGGAGTTTGACAGTCATGTCAATCTGTCCCAAATCAAAGCCAAAACATGCAGATGCAGCGTTAAATAACAAAGGACCTAGCAGAAAGACTTCACAGCAAAAGACGGCTAACCAACTACACCATGAACGCGAACAGAAAAAAAAGAACTTCATTTAGTAATTTTCTTTGACAATCCAGAAAGGATCTATATTACGCCATTTGAGAAACACTATATCGCAAACAAAAATTTCATCACATCATACATTCAAAACGACCCGTGTACCCCGAAATCGCGTCTTCCGATAATCTGCCGCTTCTTTCTAGCTGTCGGGATAATCCCGAAAGTCGGGACAAATCCGGGTGTCGCGCAAGACTTCCGATTTTTCCGCGAATTCTCATTTTGTGGGCGGATCTCCTGCGGGATTAATTGCGAATGTCTGAGCTCACTCATTAATGCCTCCTCGCCGAGAAACGTGCGCTTAGGGTTCCTTCATACTGCGCCACGCACGCCGCGTACGCCGCTGCAGCGCAATGGAAATATGCTCACGGCAGCAGAGCTCCACTTTTTTTTATCTATCTCTATAATTGCTTACTATTAAAAGCGTCATTTCATCGTTTATTTCTGTACAGCTTTGACCTCAGATACGTTAACATTGCGAACTGTGAAGTCAGCGCCGAAACTTGGTGTTTTGTGAGCGAAGAAAACAAACTGCGGCAACAACGGCGCATCAATTTGCAATTGCAGTCTAACAATATGAAGAAGAGAAATCCTTTCAACCAGTGATGTGTTTGTAAGGAGATGTTAACAGCGCAAATAAACAACCAGATACAAACAACCATACAATTATATACTACCAATATAAAGATGACGCAATGTGCAGTCAGTTACAATACACAGTGTGAAACTCGAAAATAAAGGGACACAACAACCCAAGTCATTCCATAAATCATTGATATAGACAAAGAATAGACAGAATAAACAAAGCAAAAGAGAGGAAGAAACGCATAATGTGAAGGAACACTATTGAGGGACACGAATGTGCAGCAAATACAGAGATACATCAGAAAAAGTGGAGCTCTGCTGCCGTGAGCATATTTTCATTGCGCTGCAGCAGCGTACGCGGCGTAGTATGAAGGAACCCTTAAATTGGTGCGCGCACGGGGACTCGAGGGAGCGCCTGGTAAACTTGTCGTGTCCCCTTCTCTTCTTAACATGTCCTTTCAAACTTTTTTCTTGGAGACAGTGTCTCATCAAAATTTGGTTGTGCACATTACAAACCTCTTCGACCCTATCTGACCCAGAGCGGGTCCAAAATCGCTTAAAATATACGAACACCCCGTTTTTCGAAAACACTGAGAA